CCCCAAAACCCCAAAACCCCAAAACCCCAAAACCCCAAAACCCCAAAACCCCAAAACCCCATTATTTATAGTTAAAATTGAATAAGAATTATGAATTATCAAAGTTTACTTGAACTGTGTGTGTCTAATGTAGTAGTTCTTCTTGTCTCTTTCCAAAACAGCATCTACATAGTTTGCCCTGTGACTAGTAAGCTGGTTGAATACTTTTTCAGCCTTTTTGTGCTCATTTGTCTTATGCCAATTCTCTGGCTTAACGTCTTTGAAGAAGGAGTTGTCATCCAAGTGGACAATATAGGCCTTATCGTCATCTTGGTTCTTGTAATCGGTTACAATGAGCTTGATGTTCCACTTGAGCTCGCTTCCAGCAGGAGCCTTCTTCTTTCCCTTCATTGAGTGCCATTTCTTGCCGTCGTAGGCTCCAACATAGTCTTCGATGCTCTTGTTGTCTACTTTGAGGACACAGAACTGGGATCTGAAGAGCTTCTCTGTCTTCTTTGGGTTGAAGAACAGCTTCTTTAGAGCAGTCACCTCCATCTTCTTATGGCTTGGGGTGGTCAGCTTAGTCACAACTGTCTTAATGTGAGTGTTTGAGGAGATCTTGCTCTTCAAGTGTTTCTCGATTTTCGAGAAACTGAAGAATTTCAGGATGTTAGAGTGAGCAGAAAGTATCAGATTGTTGTTCTCTTTGGCACTGCATGACTTGATTCTCAACACATCGTTTACTTTCAGGTGGGGGAACTTTCTCTTGAAGAGATTAGCAGTCCAAGTCTGGCCTGTGGTATCATTGAAGGTCACAAGGTTCGAATATTGGTCATGGTCCTTGATAACAGTGATTTTGGTGAGGAGATCGAAATCCTTCTGGTCCTTGATAGCTTGGTCAAGCTCTTCTCTCTTAATTTCGTGTTGGACAACGAAGTTCTTTGAGAAATACTCTTTAGACCACTTCTTCAAGTTGCTCAGGATTTTTTGTTCGTGTCCTTCTTGGGTGAAACTCTTTCCACTGAAGTTGTATGGAGTATAGCTGAAGTAGTTGGAAGTACCATCCTCGTTCTCTACCTTTGGTTCGAGTGGGGCTTGGTTATCATTTCCAATGAACAGGCACCAAGATGACCTGTAGTACATGTTCACGTTCAATTGTTTGGAGTCATTATAATGTTGGAACTTAGCTCTGTGAACTCTGATAATATCTCCAACTCTTTGGATGATTGGAAGGTCTTCAAAGGATTTTGAGAAGAAAACAACGTTTACAACGTTCAGTTTTCCTCCTTTAGTGACTGAGCTTGGGTCAGCAACCTTGCAGGTGACTACATATCTCTTCTCTGATTGATATGGGAACGATGCATCGATCACGACCCCGTAGAAGTGGTAGTGATCGTCTTCACTCTCCTTGTTGATGTCCTTCAAGTCTGAGTAGGTGTAGTGGTCCTATAGAAAAACGATTAGGTATGCACACTAGGGTCAATGGAGTAGTGCCAAGCAAGTTATCTGGCTTGGCATTGCTACTCTAGCTTAAAATTTACTTACTTTCTTAGCTGCTTTAGTTTTTGGCATTTTTAATTTACTTTTTATCGCCGGCTATAAATATTAAATTAGAGATTTATATCTTGTTTTGATTTTGGATTTTTAGAGCTAAAATTCAATGCAGATCTGATTTTTCGGGGTTTTGGGGTTTTGGGGTTTTGGGGTTTTGGGGTTTTGGGGTTTTGGGG